TTGCAATTTTCTCAGAAACCAAAGCCCATTTACGCTAACCCTTTTACCGTGTTAGTACACGCAACCCCCCCTTTCGAATGGGCTATGGCTCATCTCATTCCGTATTTTACAGTTCGTGGCATCTCCTTGTTAGTATTATGCTATTATACGTGAAAAAAAATTTTATTATTATGCAATTTTTATAAATAAATTAATTAAAATACTTAAGTTTTGGTCATAAGATTTAGGAACAAAATCATTTAGTCCATAAAACAAAAGAGAAAAATGTATTCCGCTGAAGCAACTAAATTTTTTGTTATATAAAACAAAATATTTTGTTACTGTTAAAAATTGCTTTAACTAAACAGTTTTGTTAAGGACACTAAATTTTTTTTCCCAGTGTAACGTTAACTAATTTCGTTTTTCATCTAAATGTTAAATTAACTTAATTTTATTAAGCATATTTATTATTATCAAAATAATACTTGCGACAGAATTCTTGTACATGCCAGTCCACAAATTAATGTTGAATATGTGTTGATAATTTCTTATATTATACACATGGATTTTCATTTGCGTAGAAATGAAAGTTATGCATATTAAAAACCTCTTCTCTCGTAAACATCGATTCGTCGGTGAACAAAATCTTTTCTACAAAATGGGGATCTTCTCTATGTCGTTCCAAAATTCACATAGCGAAATTCATTCTATTATCATAGTTCATAGGCATTAAATTCTCCACGCGTGAAAAATGGTACGCATGCATCTTATTGTTGTTTAAAATTCGCTGAGTGGTCGTGAATGACAAATTAAGCATATTGGCGATATTTTCGTATGCTTCTCGTTGGATTTTCTTCAATTGCCTCAAGTATGGCTTCTTTATTTGCCTCATTTCTAGCACGACGCTGATGGTCTTCTTCACTCCGTGATCGGATTAGTGATCCAGTATTTTTTGCCCGATTAATTAATCGTAAAATTACATTTCCATCAGGATGTCTGACATTCGGAAAACGTTCAGCGAATAATCTTGCAGTGGCTTCTGCATTTCGTCCACATTCGCCGTACAATATTATCATCTCACAATATTCTTGAGTTGAATATTCCATGATAATTTTATCAACCACAAATCTGACTCTTATCGTACAAAAATCTCGGACACACTTGGATAACCATATATTTGACAGATTATCGCTGCAATGTTTGTTGTTTCTACAGTCATTTGTTTCTACAAATTGTTGACGTCAAGGAACAAAGATACTGCAAATAATACTATGTAGTTTCCTTCAACCAATATTTGTTGTCTTCCTCTAAGTTTCCACATCTCAATTTCGCCAATGCCTTTACTCCTCTCCCCCTCTTCGTCTTCCCTAAATTAACCTTCCATAAATATTTTGGCCCTTTCCTCTCTGTCTTTATCTCCTTGTA